TCCATCGCAGCTTGTGCAAAGTCTGCAAGACGATCTCTCTTAGGTAGCATCTGTGCACATACCTTGGTTGTGAGATCCTAGATCTATACATTGAACATACGGCAGCCTGATCACCAACACTCCTCCTTGGGCGTTCGGCCACGACTAGCCCACTCGCTGGTAGATCTGCTGACGCCTGGCACAATAATGGCACAGCTGTAGCTGCTTTCTCCTCGTCAAGGCATTCCGAAGCCCGTGACAAGTAGGATCATAGTGCACCCTATCCCCATGCTCGCTCACGACAAAGGGTCCCGGAAACGGCTGAAACTCCTCGACGAAGTCTGTCTGCACCCCGACACTTACGGTCCTCGCCAGCATGGGCTCGGCCCGCATCCGGAAAGGAGAAGGGCGCGGTGTGCTTTGTGATGAACGGGCCAAAGGGGTCACTGGGGGCTCTTGCATCATCGCAGGATCATCCAATCCATAACGTGCAACCTCCTCTTGAACAGCTTGCTGCAGGCGGCGTAGTCGCCGGGCGCTCCTCGATTCCTCTACTGATCCTCGACTCCTCAAGGACAGCCACTCACAGAACCACTTCAGCGCTTCCCACAGGCCAATTGCAGCAACCAGTGCTAAGAAAGAAAGCCCATATAGCTCCCATGGGAAGCTCACTTCCAATCCAGTACCTCTGCCTTCTGTAGTTGCAGCACCAGACGTCTGAACCAACCACCCAAGGAACACAACCAGCCTAGCTAATAGCCCAACGACCCCATTAGCTGCCGAAGCTGTCGGTGGGGAATCTGCTGGAGCTGTTGTGTTGCTAGTGGCTGTTGTGCGGCTTGTGGCTGCTGCAGCTACGTTCAGATCTCCATCCGGTAGAAACTCACCTGGTTCGTCACGACGACGTAGATTCCAGAGGCTCCAAAGCTCAATTAGACGAGGTTTACAAAAGGCCTTGGTCCCCAGGTCCGCCAACTGCCTCTGGCCAGCAACGTGCCGAACTTGAACTTGTTGAAGTCTGACACACTCTCGTAGGTGCCATGCACGGACCTTCAAATGACGAGTGCGCCAGCTTCCGGCAGCTTCTGAGCAAAGGGCCACTGCCGCCGCATTATCCACGTTGATCCGTAGGGTTGGATCCGACCCCATCAGCTCTGTTGTGAGCACTGCTGTCCCGGCAAGGAGTTGCGACGCATTCACAGTTTCAATTAGCTCAGCTTCTGCTACCGACAAGGAAATCATACTCTGTCGGCCTGCCCTCCAGGAGATAGGGCACCCTTGGAAGCAGGTAAGGCAGCATCCAAAGGACCTTTCGCCCTGAGGGCTGAAGGAAGCATCACTGTATGCATCCAAAACATGACCGTCACGAGAAGGGAAGTAGGTGAGCGTCAAGTCGGCAGTCTCCCGCAAATATCCAAGCACTCGAAGACCAATCCTTTCAACAAGAACTGGATTGCGAAGACATACGCACGACATTGTAGCCACACTGTGCATCAGGTCTGGCCTACTTCTTCCGCTCAACCAAAGCAATTCTCCAGTCAAAATCTGCGCTCGCCGCAACTGTTGATCGTTGTACTCGACCTGGTCAAAACAGCGATCACCAACCAACCATTCGGGAGGGCAGGGCGTGAGGTGATTCGGCCCTTCAGTAAGATCATGATGACGTAGTAGCTCTTGAATATAGCCGGTTTGGCTAATTCTGACCCACTGATTCGAGGCCTCGATCTCCAGCCCCAAAAAACGTATTGCCGAACTTTCTGATGCCCATGACAGCTCTGAGGCCTTCCATTCACTTGTCAGCCAATCCTGCACAGCCTGGATGGCTTCTGGGTGGCCAGCATAGAGTACATCATCAACATAAATGTTGAGATAGCCCAGGATGATCTCCTCTGCCTCGGCCGCATAGACAATCGCCCATACGTTTGCGTCAGCTCTGCTCTGACGAAGGCTCACATGGCCCCCTTTGTAGTCGATCCTTGCTGACGACAGTCTGCGATCTCGGAACCGGCTCCAAAGCCGAGGGCTCCTCCTGAAGCCGTATAGAGCTCGGTCTACACGCCATAGCTGCATGCTGTTGGTGACTTGTGCCAGCTGGAAGACCTTAGGCGGCATCAACCCGTACACCTCCTCTGAAACGTCGTCCTCTTCATCCTTGATCGGAGCCAGGATGAAGGCGTTCCGTATATCCGTAGAGGCTAATCTCCAGCCCTTGACTGCACACAAAACCAGCATTGACCGTAGTGAGTCAATCTGGCATCCTCCAGCGTAGGAGTCCTCATGGGCCTGCTTTTGTTGGAAGTTGCCGCATATAACCAGACGGGCCTTTCTCTTGAAAAACATTGGCGATCCTCTCGGCAAAGGCTGTCCATCTCCGTCCACAGACACTGGCTCATCCGGAGGTTTTACGGTAAAAACCCCTTTTGCCGGCAATATAACCAGCTTGCCCGAGTCCACCAACTTCTTCTGCTCCGTTGCAGAAAGGGGAACCAGTGCTCCTGCATCCAAGAGGGCCTTGGCTTCCTTGTGGATGGCCTCCGACCATGCAGCAATGTTCTGCTTGACATCTTCCAACGCCACAGTGTAGACCACTTGAAGTGGCCCAGCGAGGTCCTCGAGCAGCATCTCCACTCCATGAGTTTCCTGCTCTGACTCGACAAGTCGGCTTATCTGCATCCACTGGTCAACATCCTTGCGCTCATGATTGACATACATCTCACGTAGTTCAAGGTTGCGCAAGCAGTCCTCATTGGCGGAAGTAACCTCTCGGAAGTATTCCTCGTGCTCCTTGGGAACAGTCACTTTGAGCTGCTCCTCCTCGTCCAGCAGCCTTCTCATCCAATATCGAGCTTGCCATTCTTCTTCCTCATCAGAAAAGGACATCCCCTCTGAGGAAAGATCATGAACACAACGGGCCTCGTAGTTGAACTCTGGAACCTCACAGCACCCTTGAATTGGTGCTAGTGACTTCGCCTCCTTGCTCGCGGGGTGTGGAAATCCCAGCTGATCCAGCTGTTCTAGATCGGCTGCCTGCAGTTTAGCATAGCCACCGATGGTGTGTGCAATGATAGTCCACTTCGTTCCTCCCGTCCACGGCATTGACATGTGCAGCTTCTTTGGGTCCACCTTCACAATGCGGTTCCGCACCGGCTGTACAAAGCCCTGAAGCTTATTGCCATTCGGAGACTCAATCTCAACAAGGGGGTGGTCAGGCGACGTGCCCTCTTGCCAGATACCTCCGCCATCAAAATCACCCACGGTAACCACCACATTCTTGGAGTTCTTCATGTTGAACCGGTCGCTGTGAACTCCTGTGTGGAGGTCCTTGGCCACCGTGAACGAGGAATAGA